GCCTTAGCATGGGCCTCAGAGCATAACAAAAAATATAGCATTGAGATCTTCAACGGGGTCTTCCCTAATTGTTCCATAATGTTGTAGTCACTTTTTCGTATGATTTTTAAAATTTCCTCCATTTCTTGCTTGGAGGCCTCAGGAATGGCTTCTTTAGGTGCCTCCGTCCGGGCAGGCTCAATCGATACTTCTTTTCCCTGAGTCTCAGCTGACTCAGTAGCATGAATACCAACAGGAGTAACAATAGAAGTATCAATAGGAGTAACAATAGGAGTGGGAACAGTCTTTGGAGAGATTTCAGGAGAGAAAATCCTTCCGCTTCTGGTAACTTTACTGGTCCCAACAATGTTGTCAATGTTAGGATTAGTATCTTCAGTAACTTCATTCTTGATGGCCAATAGGTCTTGCTTGGCACCGTGATAATAAACGTCGGCTCCATAATTCCAAGGAACGACTTTGTCGGAGGAATATGGTATGGGCCCTAGAGAGGTAATGATCAGGGGAGAAATTTTAGGGTTGTTGGTAATCCTTATAGGCCTTTTAGAGGAGACCCTTGTAGGATTATTAGAGATGGTAATAATTGACACATCTTCACATCTTACATATTCACATAGCCTTTTTCATAGATGGAGTCTTCTCAAATAGAATTTCCCTGTCGTTCATCGGGCGTTGGATGCCTATCTTCAACAATATACAACCATTGGACAGGGATGTACAAAGGTGACAATCTTCATTACAACTTGGAAATAAAATGGCTCGTAGGAGGTTCTTCTTAATAATTGGGAGAGGAGTGGCTAATTCATTCACGGAAGAAATAAAAAGGACATCTTCAACATCATTGATACCTTTGTCATGTTTGGGCATCGGTGCAGGTATTACATTGGGAGTCTTAGGAGGATCAAATTTAATCTCCTTTGCATCAATAAGGTCTTGAAATTTATTCTTTAGAGCCCAACAATCATTCGTATCATGCCCTAGACTGTTGGAGTGGTAACCACATCGTGCATTTGGATTTTAATGGGGAGAGGAAGTGTTTGGGTTTTGGGGAGGATCCTTCAGAGTGACCAGGCCAGCCTTCAACAAATACTGCAATGCCTGAGACAAAGGCATGTTGAGTCTGGTGAATTGTCTTCTAGGTGCATCCTGCATATGGTGACTATTTTGTCGTTGAGTTGGTGCCGGGTTGTAGATCATTACAACTTCTATCGTTGGACGATGTTCAACTTTATCCTAATTTCTTTGACCATAGGCAGCACTAACTTCTTTCCACTGAACGGCTTCCTCGCAGTACTTGAAGAAGCAACCCCTTGGATTTTACCACTCTTGATACCAACTTCCACTCGTTCTCCTGTCAGTATCAGCTCAGTGAATCTGGCTAAAGAGCTTTCAATCAAATGGTTGAAAAATGGGCATGTCAGAGTACCCAAGAACATCTCCGCCAACTCCCTATCAGACAGGGGAGGCTGGACTCTACGGGCGATATCCCTACACTTTTGGGCATAATCTTTGAAACCCCCACTAGAACCCATATACATGCTTTAGAGTTGCGTACGGGTTGGAGCAAGGTCAGCATTATATTGATACTGCTTGTAAAATGCAGTAGCTAAATCTTCCCAATTGCGGATATTGGTTCCTTCCAATTGATAGAACCATTCTAACTGCATCCTCGACAAACTCTCCTAAAAGAAATGAACCCATAACTTCCTATCAGCCGTATGGGGTTGGATCTTCCTGACATAAGACCTCATATGCACCTTGGGACAGGAAACCCCGCCATACTTTGCAAAGGCGGGAACTTTTAACTTTTATGGGATAACCCCTCCTGAGATCAACCCTAGCTCTTCAAAGTCCAATCCAAGTACCCTCTGAATCTCCATAGCATTGAGACGATTCTCCAGCTGTTTATACTTGTCATCAACAGGAGGATATTATTCTTCAGCAGAGTCTGCTTCCTCTTCATCAGTCCCTGGGCTGTTATCTTCTTCTTTTGTCTTCTTGTCATCCTCTTCCTGATTATCCCCCTCATTTGATGCAGTTGCGAATTCTAGAGCTCGCTTGGCTGGTCCTTTAAATCTTCTTCCCGTATTCAGGACGCCAGCTAGTTTCTTTGCCTTCTTTTTCTTCACTTTAGTGATAAGAGCTTTCAGATCTTCTTGTCCCTTAGCCAGATCCAGGAACATCTGTTGGAATTGAGCGTTCTATTCCTGAAGATTCTTAATGTTTTGTTCAAGGGCCATTTCTTTTTGCTGAAATAAACAACGAAAAGATAAGAAACCTATCATGAAATACCTGCTTATGTAATGATATGCATGACATGTTTATGCGATGTTTTCAAGGACTTCGGGAAATTTAAATTTGTGAACCAAAATGAAACAAATATTTTATTAGTAAAATTAAAATTACAACTGCTTTTTAGGCTTACAATTGAAAATTAAAAACTCTTAAAATCTAAGAATCAAGTCTCACATGGACGCTTCCTCTTCGTGTTGAGGTAGACATTAAGTTTTTTTTCTTCGTGAAGTTGCTTTGTGAGCTCCAACACTTTCTTCTCACTGGTGTAGAATTGATCTTTAAAGGTATCTCGTTCTTCCTTCAGCTGAATCCAAGACCTCTGCAACTCTTCTAGATCAGTGGGCATGTCAGGATGGCAAATTGTATAAGGAACATCTCTTTCGGTGATAGGCTCCACAATTACTGGAAAGATGGTTTTATATGGCATCATAAGGTTTTGGGCGTGAGCTCGTACCCATTTGAGATAATGCTCCATAGGAATGGAATTCTTATGCCCCAAAGTCTTGCTATCAACCTTATTTACCATGCCCCAAGCTCGTACAAACCTTTGACGATACCCTTGAACATCATCCTCGTAGTTGAACATAATGCCTTGGATAATCATATCATGGGGACCATCCCTTCGAGCATAACCAAATTGTCGCTGAGCCAGAGAAGTATTATAAGTAATACCTCCCTTAATGCCAAGTAGTTGGACATTAGGGAACTCCCCACAGCGTTTAATGATAGAGACATCTCCCATAGACCGGTGTAACACGGTGGGAGAACTGACTTGGGTGTTTTGTGTTTTATCGCAATTGTTGCGGATAGCAATAGTCGCCACCGGCTTTTCTTTTATCCAAAAGGAAAGGTTGAAAAGAATAAGAAAGACCTTTCGATATTATTTCTTAAGTTTGGGGGATAGGCTATGAAAAGGGAAGGTGTTAGAACCCTTTTCATCTGTAGTTATCTACGGGCTCTTAGTTACTTGCTAGATCACTTGCTTTTGTTTGAATGTGTGTTTGTGATGTGGGTTTTGAAAGCATTTTGAAAAGGAGTGTCTTTGTAATGATTCTCGTCTCTATAAGAACGCGTACAAAGTGTTTTAACTTTCGAAAATGATTCAAAGTGAAATTGTGGGTGTATAAAATGTTTTTATTGTGAGCAAGCGAGCAACCAGGAGCATCCTACCTACTCCAAAGGTCTTAAACGTTCTTTTCCTCCTCCTTTAGATGTTGTTATCTTACCATTGTTTTGGTAAGAAACCCCATCGTTGGCTGTGAAGGGACGGGCGCGGGACGTTTTATATAGTCATATAAGGCAACCTATGAGACAATTTAGCAATGTCGTTTAGAGACTAGATCGTTTATCAAAGGCAACATTGAGGGTTATCGAGGGACTACGATCTTTTATCGAGGGTCTTTGCTAAAACGCCCCTATTCGAGGGACATGACTTTTTTCCGAAAGGCAACAAAGTGAGATTACCCTAGAGGTGCTAGTGTACAAGTGTGTTTAATTGCATACATTTTGTCTTGCATTTAAAGGTTATCTACTTGTTGATTTTGTCTTGCCATACATCCTAATTACTAACAATGTATGAAAGCAATAAAAGTGAGGAAATAAATCCTAAGCTATTGCATCATTTCAGGGGTGGGGATACATATTTAAAAACGGGGATTGCAAGAATTTAAATCCTAACTATCTATTACAACCATATTGAATTATATAATACAAGAAAATGGAAAGGATTTGTTTTGAAAATGGTTTTTTGTCTTAATAAATTAAAAGAAAAAGAATAATTAGTTAATAAAAAGAAAATATTTTTATGTCTCTTTTATATCAATAAAAATAGTATTAATGCTGAAAATAATAATAAGAAGAAAGAAAAGGAGAAATAACGAAAACAGGATCAGCACGTTGCTGAAAACAGAACTGAGAGGGACCAAAAGTTCTGATGCTAGGCACGTTGTAGTTCAGAAAGAAATGTTAGAGGAAACTAGAAGTTTCGGGTTGCTGTGCGCTGAAGTTCAGAACGAAACATTAGAGAAAATCATAAGTTCTGGGTTGCTGTGCGCTGAAGTTGTGTTGAAATAGTGAGAAAAAACCTAGAAATTTTGTGCATTGTGTTGCAACCGTGAGAAGGACGTAGAAGTTCTGCATGCTGTGTTACAACAGTGAGAAAAACCTAGAAGTTCTGTGTTGTGTTAAAGCAGTGAGAAAAACCTAGAAGTTCTGTGTTGTGTCAAAACGATGAGGAAGACCTAGAAGTTCTATGTTGTGTTAAAACAGTGAAAAAGACCTAGAAGTTTTGTGTTGTGCTACAACAGTGGGAAAGACCTAGAAGTTTTGTGTGCTGTGTTACAGCAATGAGAAAAACACCTAGAAGTTCTGTGTGCTGTGTTACAACAGTGAGAAAAAACCTAGAAGTTATGTGTTGCACTTCACCTTCTTCCTTATATTAGCCAGAGCATCTGCAACTTATTTAGTTCTTAACACAGCAAAACAGAAAAATAAAAGCACGACTTGTTATAGAAGTTTTATTCCTAATTCTGAGCCTAGTTTTCTTCAAGAAGTTCTTATCCATAATTTTTCTACTTGGGCAATGGTATGTACAGTCTCAACATTATGATATCTACATTTTTAATGATGTTTTAAATGAAAAATTCAAAGTCAGGATGACTTACCTTGAATCTGAAGCGTGTGTTTGGGACTTGAACCGCTGCCTTCGAATGTTCTGGGGTTAGCAAGAAATGGAACATAAATGTTATGTTCTTTTAAAAAGGGAAGAACAAAGGGATTGTTTTTGAGAATTTTGGGTTTAAGAATGTTTGAATGTTTTCTTTTCTCTCTTTTTTTGTGATTGATAACTCTCTCCTCCCAAAATCCAGCCCCTTAGACGTGTGGTGGAACCATTTATTTATAGATGTATTTTTTGTGGTTTTGGGGGGAAACAAATGGGATTTGAACCTTTTTGACATATTGTTCCATTGCTTTTTAAATACAACCTTTATGTGCTAATTTGGTGCAAGTATGAGGTTTTAGAAAATTGCAAGTGTGGACTGGATCAACAGCAATTTGGAGCGTTGTGGCAGCTGGATGTAGGACTATGTCATAGTAGTGCAGCAGACTGTTCAAAATGAGGTTTTCGGGTTTGGTGATATTCTGATCGAAGAGTGGAAACACCAGAGTGAGATTCGAAGGATGATTTTCTGATCGAAGAGTAGAACATAGTCTCCATATGCTGAAGAAGGAGATTTGAAGAGTCATGTTCTGATCGAAGAACACAGCTTCCATATGTTCTAACCGGAGAGTCATGTTCTGAACCATCTTTGCAAATTCCGAAACTGAATACAACCTCACAAGTATTCGGAGAGTCATCTTTTATTTAGTACATTCAGAAACTAAATGGTATTTCATCTAAAGAAGATGACTTGGTTGAAGCGCAAAATCCCATTGACTCGACCATGATAAAGATGATGTTGTATTTCTAAGATAATAAAGGTGTTTACTATTTTCTTGATAACACTGGTGGGTATGTGTATGGGGGAAATATTGAAGTTCCAAAAGGATTTTTGGATAAAAGGAAGAAATTAACACCTACTCCTGATCATATTGGAACATTATCATCTTGGCCTTCTCCGTCATCTGATGGTTTATTGTCTGTTAGTGCTAAAGGCTACTTTGATGAGTGGTTTAGCAATATTCTTGTTGATTCTCAAGTCAGAGCGTCTCGCATCCATGCTCACATTGATGTGCAAAGTAGGGAAGCCAATGAAAGTGAAGAGAAAATAAGAGAGGAAGAAAAATCAAGCAAAGAGAAGATTCAAACTGGGATATTTATTGTGGAAGGTGTCTTAGATCATCTTCAAGATTCAACTCTTATGTTCAACCTTAATAAAAATGATGTTGCGCCTGCTCCTTCTTCTAATATACCTTAGCCATTCATGCATCATGACATATCACCTACATTTATATTTTTGTTTTATCTATATTTTGTTCACTCTATGTTCTACTATTTTTAGATATTGATCATGGATATTAATGTTGGTTATGTATGTTTTGTGGTATGTTTTGGCCATTGTTTTGATATGTGGATTTGCTGGTTATTATGACATATTTTCTATCTCTTATCTCTCATATTTCTTAAATTTCTTTTGTGGTTGTTGTGCATGTATGAAAATGTATGGTGCTTGATTAAGTTGAATGTATAACATTGTGTTTTAGGCTTTTGATTATTATGGCTATCTGTTTGCATTTTTTTCTTTCTCTCTTTTTGATATTTGTCTAAGGGAGAGAAATTGTGAAAATATTATCTATATTTACGTGCAATAAGTGTTGAATGTATAAGGATCATGAGTTCTCAAGTATAAAGTGTGTAATATCATAATCTTGTGTAGATCAATAAAACCTAATTTAAACAGATTCACGAATATTTCAAATTCCACTTCAAATTCAAATCATCGTGCAAATCAAATCACCAATAATATCTTAGAAGTTTCCAAACATAAAAAAGGGAGAGACTAAAATTGCAGTCATTGTCGGTACCATTTTAATTTTGATGTTTTGTTATTTTGTGTGTACGTATTTGATTTATCGTATATTTGTAATTTATCAATTATTTGTATGTGCATAATTAGTTTTTATGTGTGTTTGTAATTTGTTATGGATTCTTTTGCATTTGTTTTCTTCGGCTATAATGAGTATTGTACCTCTGAGAATATTTCCATTCAATGTTTTAATAGTTGTACCCATGAAATTATTCATTTCTAAGCCTAGCAATTTGATTTATATCAACATGTTAAGTTTTACTTGAATCATAAGTTACAATTCTTGAATTAAGGTTGTAGAGATGTTGGATTTGAATCATGCATAGTGTGAATCGAATCATGAACTCTTGTGAAAGTTGAGAATTTCCTTATTTTGATATGACTCGTGAGATTTTGATTTGAATCACAACTCTCTTTGACTTGAGCCATGGAGTATATATGATTTGAGTCATGGCCTCATTTCCTAACTTTCCAAACTTTGATTTAAGTTTTTGTTTCTTTATTTCGAATCATTATATCATGATTTGATAAAATTTCATTGTTTTTCCTTGTTTTCCACTGTGTCTACCCTCTAGAACCAATTCTCTCATCTTTTTTGTTTTGTCTATAATATATAGAGAGTACGACCAAAAACACAAGTGGTGATACTCACAATTATGTGGTAACAAAAATCTCTTACAACACTTGTGTTTTTTTTTGTAGTAGAATAAATATCAAGAGAGGAGAATTGATCAATGATGACTTTCTTAACAAGTGTACTAATCTGGCCATAGTAATAAAATAAATTCATCTCCACATAGACTGAAAATTCGAACGAGGTGATAATGAAGCAATTTAAAATAAACAAAGTTGGGTTTTAATAATGATTGGTACAAAAAAAAGTACCTGAATTACATGGATCAAAGTTTTCGATATTCTAGAGCGATTAGATCCTTATTAGAATCCACTAATTATTCCTGGTGATGAATATGCATTACTTGAATAACAATTACTCTATAATTATACGGTGAATTAACAAGACCAGTGCACACAATTCTTGTACAACTCACTAATTAAGATTGTAACTCCCTAATTCCTTAGGTAAATTCGAAGTAAAAGTAGGCGTTCTTGGTTCATTAATTCTCTAGCCACAACTTATAATTACCTATCTCTAGTTAATTATTAAGTTGAACAATTTCTCTATTTTGATTGGTAGACTTATGGTAAATAATCCCTACTAATCTAAAATCTTTATGCGCGCTCAACAACATACAAAGAGCAGTAAGAACAAGAACAGTTGAATAATAATTATAAAATAAAAGCATTCAAATAATCCAACAGAGTCCGATTAAGTTCATCTCTAAAGACCTAATCTAAACTAGCTTGTCCAGTCATAGTCAAACAAAGAATTACCATGAGTTGATAAGAATAATTCATGATAATCAATGAAAAATCATGTCTCCAATGACTCCAAATCTCTCCAAAATTGTCACAAAGTACTCGGTGCCATCACTTTCTCGCTTAGAATTCATAACCCATTAAAAAGTAGCAAAAATCTCTTTTTAAAGTTGAAAATTGGGTGTCAAGAAAAATTACCATCGCGATTATGTTAAGCACCATCGTAATTGTGATATGTGCGCATCGCGCCCATCACGTCCTCACTCTTCCTACTAATTACCAATATACCACTCTAACTAAAATAACTCTATTTAAATAATTATTCCTATTATTCTATTCTAGATAATAATCCATAGTTACCAAATAACCATCTAATTATTCCAATGCATCTAATCCCTTCATTCATATCACATGTTCCACATCGTAAGCAATCAAATGACAACGCATCACATATATAATCCTATAAAACATCAATTATTTGTAAACACCCCTAATAATTCATTAAATAAATAACTTCTAAAAGTTGGGGTGTTACATTTCCCACTCCTTAGCTAACTCCCATGGTCAAGAGTTTCTCTTCGTAGTTTATGTAAAGTTGTACTCTGATCAATAAATCTTTCAAGCTATGAGCTACATTGAGCCTTAGTTTTCATTTGAACATGTAGTTCTACCTCAAGCCCCTTTCGAAAATCCAGCACTTCAATTTGTCATATGTGCCTCCACGATTACTTCCACTTTGTTAAAGTGGTTAAAGTATCTATGTAGGGTTTCCTTTTCCCCTTGAGTTATTCCAATGAGTATGGTCCTTTTTGTGGGTTGCCTCTTTTGGGCGGTGAAAGCTTCACATAGATCCTTCCAAGAGTCTATGCTCCCATCGGGGAGGGCCTTTAACCAAGGCATTATTGATCTAGTCAAAGCTAATGAAAAGAGCTTGCACTTTATAGTCTTGTGAGTGTAATAGTAATCCAATCAACTATCCACATGATCAATGTGTTCGTCTGAATCCTCAATCCCATCATAGCTTTAAAGCTTGAGAATTTTCTCCAATGACCTCAAAATTCTACTATCGAGGATGCAAGTGGACATGTGATTTCTTTTTCTCTCTGTAGTCGAAGCATCTCCTTCATACCTCTCCCTCCTGCGGGGATGGAGGACCTCTAGAGAAGTATGGTTGTCGGTCTCCTCTTAACGATTGAAAGAAATACAATTTTTTTCTCACTTTTATTTTTTAATCACAATTCTAAATAATCTTTTAAAATATTCTTGAAATTATATTTTTATTTTTTCTACTTCAAGAGTATATTCAAGAAACATAATAATTTATCTTTAAATTTTATTTGCTCCAACTTATAGTTAGATTAAATTAATCTTATCAAATTTGTTTAGTTTTAATGAAACTCAATCACAATTTACTATAACAAAGGTCAATAAAAATTATAATCCTCCAAGAATGTTTGAAATTAAATTATTAATTCGTCAGGAACTCTGTCTCACATACCATGATCAAGAAAATTTATTTGTTGGGCAATTCTTCGATAATGTTTTTAATATTAAATTTATAGTTCCTCATTAATGATATCACAAATGATTTTCATAAATTAAATAGTAAATCATTAAAAAAAAATCATTCTGTGAGCAATACTTCAAAAATCCTTTAGACATCCTATATCATAGATCTCGAATAATAATAAATAATTCTTCAGAAATTATATATCACAAATAATCTTTATAATAATCAAGAATAAATTATTCTTTGCAGTCTTGCTAGAATGTTCAATAAAAAAAAATCTTCAAAATTATATCACAAATCTTCATATTGATAAATAAAAAATTCTTTAAGCAATTCTTTTATAATATTTTAATATTATTAATGCAATTCTTTTATAATATTTTAATATTATTCGTGTAATCTTTCTAAAATGCATGAAAAATATCAATTAATAAATTAATACAAAATAGATAAAACTATTAATATACATTATAAAACAATAATTTTAACCATATAACTTCATAGTCAATTCTAACAGTAGAATTTGATAGAATATGGTGTTGATAACAATGTTATAAAATTTATAAATAAAAAAAGGACACTAAAGCTTAGAGAACAAATAAATAATTGTATTGTATTATTCTCAAGTGTGTCGTTACATGGTAATCTAGGTCCTATTATAAGATACAAATAGTAAACAAAAAAATCAGTACACATTAAGACAATTTATATACATTTAGTAGAGAAAGTTTATTAGGAGACAAAAGAACCAGACCATTGAACATCCATTATTTTATAACAATTGTATTTGATACAAATAAAATATGTGAGCTTAATTAATCTTAGTCATCAAAAAGGTTAAGATTTGAACCCTTTTATTCCAAAACTATATTTTTAAATTATAAATGATTTTTTTTAAAAATTAATAATTAAAAAATACATTTAATTTTTATTTTATTTTATTTTATCACATTTAACTCAAATCTTATATTTTATCATATTTATTAGAATTTAACATAACTCGATTTTAAAAAACTGATTTGTAACAATTTATATAAACTAGTTTTAAATTTTATATTTAACTAATATAAAACTTGCGATCTTCCCCAATAATATTTAACGCATCGGCCAATATAAAATAACTTATTTTCTTAGATATACTTTAAATTTAAATTTACAAATAGTCTCTCTTAGATTTTCCTTAGGCAATTCATATTTTCCAACTACACATGTTGTTCCAAGTACATCTACCTAAGTCAAACCTGGAACTATCTATTTAAGAAATTTGTTATCTACCAACTACCACATCATATTAACTATAAATTAAATGATTAAATATATTTTTATTCTTATAAATAATTTAAATTTTATTTTTAATTTTTATGATGAATTTCTACCACAATGACAATTTAATTATGAGACAAATAAAGAAAAAGAAGACAAGACAATTATTTCTGCAGAGTTTCTCTCTGCCCACAAACTGTGGAAAACTTTCTTATTCACTTTGCAATTGCAAAATACTGTA